CCGAGAGTGATACTTAATGAACAAGCGTGGACTTTACTCCAGGCTTCTCTCTTAAACTCTCCTGCAATATGGTGGCGCCAGTGAAGATTTACCTGGTGTTTTATAATGTTGTACTGACGCTAGGGTAAGGATCAGATCACTTCTCTGTCATCTTACTGTTTATGGCAAGAGGCTTGAGTGTAATATAGTTAGCGCATAGTACTTTCTGTGATTTATGTTTGGTGAAAACCTACGCGTAAACAGCTGAGCTTCCATTTATTGTGATTTGATCGAGTGCGAATACTTCTAATGTTTTTTCGTTAGTGCAGCTTAGAAGATATTGATAGCTCTCAGCAAACTAAAACCTGCGACTGCTGAAGCCAAGTTTTAATGTCAGGCATAAGTTTTCCTGTGATTTCTGAGTAAATCCTTGATTTAATCATTATATTTATTACTTAATACAATATGTCAGCTGATGTTTGTTTCTTGTTCCTCAGTCTGCAGATCGTCACGCGCTTTGAACTTTTTTTTTAGGCCAACATTGCCAAATTGCGTGAATAAAATAATTCCTCCTGTGTGCGCCAAATGAAATCTATTCTTAGTCCCTGAGAGCTTTGACATAAAATTTTATTAGTTTGGTATTACTAAGCAGTTTATTTTTATCATTTATTTTTGTCACATGGGTTCCGTTATCCTTAACATGCGAGGTAGTTTTCACGTATAAGGTTGAGCTTGGAAATATGGGGGTATGAGCGAATTATTCGAACAGAATTGTTGGAAATCAATTAATTTGGGGATTTTTTAAAATTATTGTTCTGTAGATGGGGTGTGATTCTTGTCCTCGCAGTACAGCACTTGACAAAGAAGAATACTCATATTGGGCTTTACGACTCGGTGGAAAAACCCCTCAAGATTTTTCAATCTGCAGCCATCCTAGAGGTGAATGATTGTCAAACATACATGTACAGAACTTAGAACTTAGAACATTTAATTTAGCTGTGTAGTCATGAAAGCAGAAAAAGTAACATTCTACACAAAATTGAAATAACATTAAAAGAAATGATTAATTAAGGACCCGTAAGGCAACCTTTCTTGCTGTAAGCTAGATTTCCTAAGTCTGGAAGTTTGTATCTTGAAGTGTGCTTTTTTGAGGTATAGTATATGTCTAACATGACTTTTTGTTTCCTCTTGTTCCAGGTATTACACTGTGCAGTAGGTATGTAGGATTATATTAGAGCAAATTTGATCATTTTATAAAAAAAATATTTTACCCATTTGCTCTACATGTATTGTCTTAGGCTGCAAGCTGTTATGTGCCAGTCAAGATAAGAAAAATAT